CGGTATCTACAAAACAAAAAATTTGATATGTATCGTGACTGCTTTTATAATGACATATTAGGGACCGGTCATTATTTATCGCCTGGGGGGGGGGTCGGAGTATTTAGGGGGGGATCACATGGTTTTTTGAAGACCTTTAGGGGGGATCAGCCGTAATTGACAAGCATAATGGGGGGGATCAGACCAAAAAAAAAGGAATTTTAGGTCGCGCCGGGACCCCGGGTGATTGCATTTGTAAATACTTTGGTAGGATTTGCCGCTGGGACTCTAAACCCCCAACCATATATTCAAGACCACGTTCAGTTGTATTTTGTATTATATAAACTCTATTCTAGCCCAGACACAAAACCCAAACCCTTTTACAGACCCTCCATTTTGTAAAAAAGAATCACTATCGTAGTCTAACATACACGTTTTTATTCAGGCACGATCTAAATTAGAAAGGTAATCAAGATTTTGAGAATGGAATACTTACAATTGCTCAAAATTGTTTCATAACGTTTCAGTTTGTTTTATAGAGAATCGTAATCTAAAATCATAAACTTTCATTATTTTAATACGCGGCCGAATGAAAACAACAAATAAAAAAGTGTTTATTTTGGTGAGGCTGTATCTTGTTCCGCTTCCGTGTCAGAATCTTCGGCAGCCCTCTCCACTGGCTCTTGCACAGTCTCCTCGTCAGATTCATCTGAATCCTCGCCCGAACTTGAACCTTTTTTTCAGCACCATTACTGCTATTCTCTTCGTTCATTCTGGCCACTACCACTTTCAAATTGCGTGCCAGCTCTGTTTCAAACACGCCTCTTTCCAAAAGCCATAGCAGAGGATCCAGGTGGAGACGCTTGACAAATCTCGCAGTGAATCCTGCATTAATACTTGAGACACATTTGTAAGTATTCTTTTCGAGTGAATCGAAAACCTCTTTAGCTACCTCTTTTGAGGTAAGTTTTTCTAGGAAAATTGCTGCTCGCTGATGCAACCTTTTCTCCTTGATTTTTTTCACTTTTCTCTTGTTTTTTTCTTTTTTTCTTCGGGATTGGCCGTTGTTCCCCATGGGAGATGGGAACTTTCTCTTCAAGCTCATGAGGGTGGTCGTGAGCGCATTGGAGGCTTTCTGCAGCTCTTGGTGTATGGCCTTCACTCGCTCTTGAGCTTCCTGGAAATATTTGAGCTCATCACTTGCAAACGACCTTAAGGTATGCTCTTCTGTATAAAGGTTCTTTCGTCTGTTGTCGATAAATGAGAGCAAATCGGATGCTGAATTAAAGGCCTCATTGACAGTGGTCAAGGAGGACTCACACTTCGCGACATCACCACTGCCCTTACATCCATCCACGCCTGACATGAACTTCGTGATGTTTTGGCACACTCCCCAATTCTCGTTTCTAAGCAAGTTGTTTTCTTTATCGGAAAGGGCTTTTATCTTTGTGTTTAACTGCCAACGCATTTGCTGTTGCTCGGGGAGATACTGTTTGAAACCGGCTTGTTTACTCACGAATGAAGATTCATAAATCTGGGGTACAACACTATTGTAGAATTTCAGCCTTTCTGTGTGTGGGTTGGGAAGAAGATATTTTTCCCACGGCTTCTTTTCTGGTGCTGAGTCGTTCCTCAGGACTTGTAGTTGCCCGGAGCGTCCAAATGACAAAATCGCCTGCTTGCGCTTCTTGGGAGCACTGGCGGACGTAACACCTACCGATCACATAATAAATGTTTGTTAAGGATTGCGTTACAAATTATGCACCATGTTGCCTTACGTTTTTTGTTCATGGCTGGTTTGAAGCACAAGCCAATTATTTTATAGAGGCCTTCAAAATAATCATCTAAGAAACGATAACTCAATACCTTCACTGCTTGTTCCTCTTTGCTTTGATTCGCCTTGTATCTGAGCGAAGAAACGCCTCAGACGGCGAGTTTGTATCTTCGTTAGTCCAATGTCTCGCTCAAGAGTTTCGTCATCGACGTCCAGGAAATGCTCGACCTTTGCAACACCAATTTGTTTAAAATTGTCTGTGTAATTGCTCAAGTCAGCTTTTGTTAAAAGATAGTCAATTTCTTTATCCATTGAAAAGGCTTATAATGAAAGCAAATCAGCGCAATTGAACGAGTTCTGTGCCCACGTTTCGGCTAAATATAGGTTTTATATGTTAATATGTAAAAAATAAAGTTAAAGTATACCTCAGTATACCCAGCAAGATCCTTGAATCAACGGTCTCTCAGAGAATCGTCAACCATACATTCCATGAGCACAGTTTAGTCACTGAAAACCAATGGGCTTATAGGAAAGGCTTTTCTACTGAATTAATGCTTATAAAACTGACAGAACAATGGAGACAAGCGGTTGATAACAGTAAAGTTGTCGGCGTGGTTTTTGTCGATTTTCAAAAGGCCTTTGACTGTGTATCGCATAAAATATTGCTGCATAAACTCGAGATTGACTTTGGGATCAAGGGCAACCTGGCTGCTTGGCTTCACAGCTACTTAAAGGGGAGGCGACAGTTCACAGTCATTGACGGCGCAGCCTCTGATTTTGCTCGCGTTAATACAGGCGTTCCTCAGGGATCAGTCCTCGGTCCAACCTTGTTCGCACTTTACACAAATGATCTACCTGATAATATAACAAATGCAACTGTTTTTATGTACGCAGACGATACCACCCTGTTCTGTATCGGAGACACCGTAGACATTGTTATTGCCGAACTGAATGCTGCTCTCAAGGAACTAGAGCTATGGTGCTTAAGAAATCAACTATTGCCTCACCCCAAGAAATGCGAAGGCATGCTAATTCATCGAGGAAACTTCACTGGTCCACTACAGTCATTAATACTGATGAATCATTGTATAAGATGGGTTAAACACACCAGGCTGCTTGGAGTCTATATTGATAATAGACTTAACTGGGACTACCATGTCAAAGCACTAAAGATCAGCTTTGCAAATAAGCTTAACATGCTGAAGCGCAGCTTGTTCTTACCGAGACCCATGCTACTGGACTTATACTTTAAAGTAATCTACCCATCAATTATATATGGTATCACCGTCTAGGGCGGCCTTACTAATAAGGAGGGCCTAATTGCATTAGAGTCTTTACACTGTAGAACGGCAAAATTAATTTTTAACTGGCCATGGGATATGCCTAAGTCTGACGTACTAAGCAAAGCTCGATGGTCTTCTATTGAAACCACATATAAAGTTAATTTAGCTAAACTGATGTTCAAAATAGATAAGAAGACTTTACCTATATCCATCTTAGATACCACCGAAGAAGTTGACGTGAATACTAAGAAAAATCTAAGAAGTAATGCCAACATAAAAGTACCAAAATTCAATACATATTACATGAAAAACAGTTTTTCCAGAAGAGGACCTATCGTTTTTAACACACTTCTCCAAGAATCAAATTTAAGAAATATAACCATTAAGCAGCTCTCCTCGTTAGCCTACAAATCAAAGGCACTTTTAAATTTGAACTTTAATTCCATTTCTCCACAGACAGTGAATTTTAAGGACCCCAATTTTAAATATTTTTAGATCTTCTAATTTTGATAGGCTACTTTAATTATTGTATTTTACTACATTTCATTTTATTCCATTTTACGCACGACCCCACAAGCGTGTAGTCGCTTTAACAATTATCGTGTTTAAATAAAGTCTTTGTATTGTATTGTATTGTAAAGTTAATATGTCACAACGATGTTAGTTAATAGTAGGTCACAACAACAAAGCATTATTTTAAAAGCGCGCTGAGAAGATTTCCGACAGTTGGACTTCAGACATTGTAATTGAGCAAGAATGGAAGATATGACAGAAAAGCTTAGCAATCTGGACGATAATGGTGATCAGCTTAGAAAGCATTTGGATTTAAGTGATGGAAGTACCCATAAACGATGCCATAATGAAAAGCGAAGCGAGCGAAGGGCGAGAACTGAGCGGCTTTTATCAGATATCGACAATGACCAGGTAAATAAATGATGGATTTGCAGTCTTTATAAAAATATAAAAGCTAGCAAATGTTGTCTGACGGCGTTTCGATGTTACTAAAATCATCATGAAGGAAAACGCGGCAATTTCTTCGTGATACTGGTCCATTATTTTACGCTCAAACTGGTGAGAAGTAAAACAATAAAATATGCATGCAATAGTATAAGTAATCATTAACATTGAAACGTCGAAACGACGCGGACATTAATTCTTTGTATTTAAAGACTGCAAATACTGGTATTTGTGGTCACTATAATTTAGATAGCGTTATTCCCGGCATCTGAAAGACAACCCTATAATTTGCAGATCAGTGGTAAATAACAGTGTTAAATATTTAACTATGCTTACCATTAATACAATTAAATTAAAACGGAAATGTAGAACGTGACGCAAGCGAAGCGTGCGGAAGAAAAAAAATGTGGGGGCTCCCTCGTGCGTGCGTCAAATGCAGACTATAAACCAGCAGACTTACTAGAAAATTGACGCGATTTAAATTATCGCAAAGTGATGGCAAAATACTTTCTAATAAAATAAATAAATGCGAAAGGTGTGTTTTTTAATTTCAAACTGATGAAGAAAATTAACGCGGCGTTATAAAGAAACGGAACCTGTAGAGAAAACAGCTACCAAAATCCAATCGTTAAGATACATTCCTCAAGCCCATAGATCTAGTAAAACTGTGAGTTTCTCGATCTAAGACGAAGTCACCTTTTATAAACTACTTCAGGGAAAAAAGAGAATGGAGATTGTAACATCGCAACAAAGCTGCACCCTAGAGCAAAATAGGGGTGTTATAGAAGAAGAATTATCGAGAGCAATTTCAGAGGAAAAGAAGCACAAGTTTCAAGGTCTGCTCTATGTCTTCGATCAACTATTTCTTCCGGTGCAAGATGCCAATGCTAAGACAAGAATTAGGTCTTCAATCCCCTTTCAAGAAGCATTAGAGTACTTTCTTGCGTTTCAACCTCATCACTCTGGGGCACCGTCAAAATATCAGAGAGTTGCCTTTCTTTGAAGCTTTACTTCATGAAAAACATGGTCTCAGGATCAATATCATTCGTATAACCGAGGGTTTTGAGTATGTCGCGCTCCGTCCTGACGAAGTCGATTTAGAGTCATTCCTTTTGGATATTTTTAGTGCTTGTAGTACTAAAAGTGGACATAGTGCTCTTGTTCTCGATAAGGAAACCGTGCAAGGTATCGTTACTACCATGGACTCAGAATGGGATAAAATTTGTCTTAGAGTTATATTGCGATCCATATTCTCTAGAGAAGAAATGACAGCCCTAGGCTTCGATCCTGACAATCTTCCATCTATGACGGAGAGAGTTAAATTCGTTGTTGAAGAGGTAAAAAATGCTAATGAGGCAGCAGCCGACCTCGTTAAGTTGCGCTTAAATTCCAAGAAGGAAAAGCTGGAGAAGGAGATAAAAGAGAAGGAAAACCTTCTTCAAAAGAAAACAAATATTTGGTCATCCAAAACGTTAGAAGAAATCCAAAGCGAAGTACAAAAACTCAAGGAAAAAGTTGAAGACACGGAGGGGCTTCTTCACAGCCAGCCCACCGAAAGCAATTATCAGAGAAAACGCCAAATGCTCAAGCTTCAAGCCTTATCGAATGTAATCGACTGAAGAGGCGAAAGTTGTCAAACCAAGGTCCGAAGCCAAAGCTAGATGAGGAAGATGAAGACTTCATTGCAAAGGCAATTGAGGATAAATCATCTTATCATGGTAGACGACATGATACGGTCCTCTATACCGGCCAGAGGGTGAAGAAGAAAAACCTTCTTTCAATTGCCAACTACCGACTAGCTCAACGTGGGAAGAAATTAATTCAATCCGCTACAACAGTATACAACAGGGCGAGACCGAGAAACAAAAGAAGTCTCCAAGCGAAGCGCCATTGTGGCAAAGGCCTATTTTGTTGGAAAAAGCCACCAAAAGGCGAAGAAAACACAAACGAAAACACTCACTACCAACGAGCACACGTAAAAACATAAAAGACGATTCTGGGGTGCCAGAAATTCCAGCGCCGAGAAAGTTTTGTTTCATGAGAAGCACCGATGACAAGGCTTACCTTAGACCAGGTACATCTGAAGGTTTTGACAAAGCCAGAAATCTTAGGATCTTAACATTATCAGATCACACTAAAGCAAGGAAGTTGCCAAAGTACGACTGGCCTGAGAAAATGGTATATGTGACCCCGGGTTCTCCCCGTGTTTTCACGAAGTCAAGTGTAATGAATGAAACTGAAGAGAAGCTGATAACTGAGGACGATCGCCACTATGTATTTGTCCGGCCCAAAGCAATAGTGGGATCGTCAGGCACTGTATGGGCCAGCGAAACGGTTCGTTTGCGACATGAGGATCCATCAGCTTTTGAGGTTGACGAACCGACACCTGGCAGTCCACAGTACTCACTGGGATTTCGTAAATGCTGCGCGCGACTACACGATGACCTCTTTCTTTATTATGATATGACAGAGTCAGATGACCTAGACAAATTATCCGGAGAAACAGAAAGTAACTGTAAATTCTTCACTTACGAAAAAGAGAGAGCAGAACACTTGAAATTAAGGATTGACAATTTGTTGCAGTTTTGCGAAGACACAGAAATGTCAGAGCACAATAGGGCTCTGTTTGCTAGTCAGATAATACCAGTCACGAAACGCATTTTAGATGCCATTGATGATCTGTTTAAAGAGGAAGTCGATTCCATGGAAAAAGATGCGAGAAAGGACAGGATTTTAAGGGTAACCAGTTCAGGTAAACATGGTCTTGAAGTTCTCGGAGATCTCTGCCTTCCACCTGTAAAGCCACGATGGGCTGACCTTACAGATGCTGGTCCGGGCGTGGGAGTTTCCAACTACGAAGTTAGATTTCGAGACGCCGAGTTAGCAAGGGTTCACAATTCTGATTATAGAGTGCGATGTCATTGTTCGAGGGGCGACAGCGGGCAAGGTGAAGCCGAAAGGACAAACTCGGCAATTTCTGATGCTCTTGTGGATGGCGCAACTCTAGAGTGGGAAAAATATAGGAGATTTGAGGATCTTTCAGAAGAGGAAATCAAACAACTGTCTCTCCAGTCATACGAAGAGTACGAAAAGAAACGGATGGAGAAAAATGCCTGGTATGTCTGTAGTCAGGTAGCCGAGAGAATTGATGATGCCCCTGTCCTTAAAGATTACATCAAGAGCAAAGTAAGCGAGTCCCCTGATGAATTATTCTTTTTCAATTCTGTTTACCTTGACAACTATCGGGGTGCATCAGAACGAAACAAAGAGCATACTTCCGAAAGATCGAATCGTTTATGGAAGACCTCTATATTCGTGGAGAACTTTTTATGGAATTCTGTCGTGATGCCTATAAAGAGTCAAGAGAAGAAAGTTCCAATCTCTGTTCCTGGTGTTCTAACAATAGATGGGTCGGTCCAGAAACGGAAAGAATTCCGCAACCTGTACCAGAATCAAACAATCCTGGACATTTCATGGATATCTATCAGACGGAATCGACGGGCAGGACACCAGATGATTACCTTCCAAGAAAATGTATTAAAGATCTGTACGAGGAACATTCTGACAGTATCAGAAACGATCAGGATACCATGAAGAGCTTCTGCTCAAAATATAATGTGGAAGAGAAGCACGTCATTGCATATGTTAAACATTTGAAGGATATTGAGATCCGAAAGGACATCAGAACAAGAGCAGCTCAGGAGCGAAGAAGGCAAGAGGCCGAACGAACGTACAAGGACTTTCAATGGGATAACCTCATCGAGGGTGGCAAAGTTGAAAAGTTGCGGGTAAGAGAACTAGACCTGTATCTCAACAAGCATGGTTTGATGACTGTGGGTCGGAAACTTGACAAAGTGAAGGCCATTCGATGTCACTATTACCGACAGAATAAAGAGACTGTGATAACAGAAGAACTGTCGAGTGATGAAGATGACGTGGAATCCGAGGATGAAGAATCCGAAAGTGGAGAGGCAGAGAGCGACGATGACTATGTTTTCGTGGATTTGGATGAACAGCCTGAGATTGGCACTTCCTCGACAATTCAGTTCGTATCTGACGAGCAAATATTTACCGTTGTGGTTCAAGGTCCATGAGACGTAAGTACCACTATTAAAATATCACTTGCATATTCAAAAAGTTATTTGGCGGTGGCTGGGAGAAAAGGGGGAGGGGGGGATCATGAAACTTTCCACTACCGATAAGGAGGGATCTCTAAAAAACTAGATACTCTACGGGGGGATCAGGTAAATGCTCCGATGTGACAACAAAAATACTCCGACCCCCCCCAGGCGATAAATAATGACCGGTCCCTTAATCACATCAGATAACACGAAAAAGATGTGGGATAACATCAATTTATTGATAAATAAGAAGCGGCCAAGTTCTCACATAGAAAAACTACAAGTCGATAATAAACGTCATGAACAACCTTTAACTATCTCTAACTGCCTTAACGATTTTTGTAATGTCCCTTCTACACTAGCAGCACAACTGCCTAAATCTGATAAGAGTGCAACCTCTTATCTCTCTCAGAAACAAAAACAATTTCACTTCACACAAGTCTCTGAAATAGAGGTATTCTTATTACTGGAAAGTCTTGATACAAACAAGTCATTTGGGATTGACAAGATTCATCCACTATTATTAAAAACTGCAACACTTCAAATATACCGTCTCTTAACATTTATTTTTAATCTTTCCATCAACCAAGGTATTTTTTCCTGATAGTATGAAACTTGCATAAGTTGTTCCAGTTTTTAAACAAGGCTCTCGTTTTGCATGTAGTAATTATCGACCTATCTCAGTTCTCTCTTCCATAAGTAAAATATTTGAGAGATGTATTTTTAATCAGTTGATGTTCTATTTTACGAATAATAACATGATTTCCTCAAAACAATATGGATTTAGACCAGGTTTTACAACCTCTGATTGTTAAACAAATTCTCCTTGAAGAAATAACTTCTTCTCTTGATAAAGGACTTGATGTGGTTTCTTTATTCCTAGACTTAAGTAAAGCATTCGATACAGCAAACCATCAAATACTACTAAATAAACTTAAGTACTATGGATTACAACAAAGTGAATACAACTGTTTTCAATCTTACTTAAGTAACAGGAAACAGCAGTGCATGCAAATGACGTTGCTTCTGATACACGTTTCATCTCCACTGGTGTGCCTCATGGATCGATACTAGGACCTTTGCTGTTCACTATTTTCATTAATGACCTTCAAAAGTCTTCCACCTTTTTTTCTACTAGATTATATGCTGACGATACATCTTTAACAGCTTCTGGAAGTGATCTTGACAGTTTATTGCGTGAAATTAACAATCATTTACCAGCTGTCGACGAATGGTTATGCAGTAATAAATTGACCTTAAATTTGACAAAAACTGAGTGTCTTATTTTTATGCCTCGTCAAAAGGAAAGCTACAATCTTTATCCACCACTAACTGTAGCAAATGTTCATTTTGAAAAGTCCTTTTGTGTAAAATATCTTGGTGTGTATATTGATTGTCACCTTACTTGGCATGACCATATTGACTACATATGTGGCAAAATTAGCAAAAATATAAATATAATGGTTAAGTTGAAGCATTATGTATCAAAAGCAACTCTTATTAGTGTGTATTACTCTCTTATTTATCCTTACCTTACTTATGCTTGTACACTTTGGGGAAATAATTATAACGCTCCATTGTCTCAAATTGTAAAGTTACAAAACAAAGCAGTTCGTGTTATAAATGATGTTCCTTTAATGGAATCAATAACTCCACACTACACATCCTTAGGCCTTCTGAAATTTCCTGATATTGTTAAACTGAACACATGTATGCTTTTTATGATTATTTCCACCATGAAAAGTTTCTTAATATACCTGTTTCATTAGTATCTGAACTACATAATTACAGTACCCGCAGTGCATCATCCAATCAAGTTGCAATACCTTTATTTCGAACTAATCTTAGGAGATTTTGCCCCAGCATTATTGGAAGTTTCTTTTGGAACGATATTCCGCAATCCATTAGAGACAAACCATCTAAAAAAATGTTTAGAAAAGCACTTTTGCGCTGGTATCTTGCTCAATACTAATGAAACATTATCTCTTTTATAACTTTCTGAGATATTTTGTCATTTTCCCTTTACTTTTTTATTAAAAATCTCAAGTCCTTTGTTATACATAACTTTAAGGGGCACAATATTAGTTTATCTAGATGTGCCCCTCTCCTCTCCTTCAATATACAATGTAATTCACGTTAAGTGTTGAAAATTCTGTTCTACGTATTTTTTCCTTTTTAAATCTTTATCTGATACTGTTATATCCGTTATATTTACATAATTATGTATAAGCTATGAATTGGAGGAATAAAAAAATAAATAAAAAATAAAAAACTTGATAACAGAACCTATTGAGTGTATTTTGATCAAAAAATATGCTTAAAGTGACATTACCTTATACTGTACAGGTCCTAAGAGTAATTGTCTCTAAACTACCGAGAGAACCATCTGTTCAGAAGGTCGTCCTTGAATTTGAAAGAACTATGTGGTCAGCGACAAGAGAGGTTCTGTCCGGAGTCCAGATAACCCAGTGCACTTTCCATTTCCACCCTACATTGGCTGGACCAATCTTAGATCTCAAGCGCGACCCAGCGGAATTTTGCTTAATCAGTCAGATAGTCCGGCAAGTGTGGTGAGTGAGAGCGATAGCCCGACCAGCCCCGGGTCAGCTGAAGGTTCGGCAGAAAAAGACAAAAACAATACGACAAATGGCCGCAAGAAGAGCAAAGGGCTCTAGTAAGCCCATGGGCAAAACGTCTCTACTAGAGAGAAAAGACGCACGAAAAATGTGGGAAGAAATTGCGCGCAAGTTAAATCGCAAGTTTGGAACCAAGCGCACAAGCGATCAATGTAAAAAGAAGATGAATTAACTCATCGAGCTGTAAAAAATCGCCAATGAACATCAAACCATGATTCGGCTGGACAAGGAATGGTCCACGTGTAAGGCGCAACACGAATTCTACGTAAATGCCGCTGTCTTCTTAGAAAAGCGACATTCAGGATTTGCATGTATTCATTTGCATTTGCTGCTGTTGCATGTCGATAATTTGTAGAAGTAGGGTGGCAATAGCAAAGCAAAGTGTCTGATTTGGGTTCATGTGCATTACCGCACAATACGCGCCAGAAATGAAATCTGATCGACTGTGTTCATTTTGACCTATTCTTGTATTTCGGTAGTGCGACCCAAAAATTGTGTCACATTTTTCGGCTCTTCCGGTTGCGGTTTCAACTTTTCGAAAATTTTTTGGTTGCCTAATTTTTGGTTTGGGCTGTTGTGCGACCTGGGCCTAACCTAGCATATATTTTTATTTATTCTCAAAATAGGACTAAAAATGTAGTTCACAAAAAAGGTCTGTCTTTTTCCACAAGCGTTGTGACTTCAGATCTCAAGCAAACAATTTGTCCTTTTACCACAACTAACACTGGACACAGTTCTAAGGCCTGTTCCAAACGTCGTGCTACTGCCGTGCCGAACTCAAATGAAATAGTCATTTCGATTTAAGCACGGTAGTAGCGCGCCGTTTGAATCCTTTAAGCGCGGCACGGCTGAATTAGGTTCGGCGCGACTACTTAGCGCGGCAGGCCTTACTGTGCCGCACGGCAGTAGCACGACTTGGTTTCAAACGTTGTGCTGCTGTCGCACCGAACTCAATTCATAAATTAATTTATTGTGTGTTGCATTATTTGCATGCTATTACGCATGCGCACTAATAAAAAAAAAAAAGACAAAATGGCGCCTTGGCGCAAAGATTCACCCGATTTTCCCGAAAGGTTGAGAGAAGAGGAATCCGACGGCGACAATAGCTCCACCGATGTTTCCCGAACTTTTTCAAAGAGATATTCACCTGAATCGTTCGACACCTATTCTCCTGATAACGAAAAAGAGACTGATTCAAACGAATCCGGCACGGGAGTTAGTGAACAGAGTGAACTGTGCAGCTCGAAGAAAAAGAAGCAAAAGAGATGGAGAAGCGTATGGGAAGAGCGATATATTTTCACGAACATGAAAAATTCGAAGAACGCAGAAATACATGCTAATGTGCTCAAAGAATTGGACCAGAGACATGAAGATGGTAGCTTCCCGTTCCGCGTAGATCAGCTCAGGAACAAGTTCAAGAAATACATATCTGAATGCTGAAAAATTGCATTGACTGTCAAGACTTCAACGGGCGTAAAAAGGATTCAAGATCAAAAGCAGCTGGGAGCCTGGTTTAATCAACTATTTCCACTGGTCCAAACAAGGGATTCATGTAACCCTGACATGGCAGTAGAGTCTTCTTTGTCACTGCAGTTGTCTGACGGGGAGCCAGTGAAAAGAGCATCAGATAACAGAGCCCCCACTGATGAGCAATCAAGTGACGGTTTTCACCAAGGTGACGACTCTGACACGAAACAATTTGTGCCTATAAGGAAGGGTAGAAGAAAGAAAGTCAAATCTCAGAACTCTTCTAGTGCTTTGTCCACTGCTGTAGAGCTTTTTGAAAAAGTTGTTAATAATGACCCAACAACACAGCTGATATATTTTTTCAAAGAGGAAAATCAGCGAGCTCGTGAGCATGAATTAAAGTTAATGGAACTCTTCATGTCACAAAGACAGCCTGCAGTTAGTTATTCTGCAGGTTCATCCTCTATGATTTTCCAAGAAAGAAGCCCCGGCCCATTTGCAGGATCTAGTTATCGTGCAGGTTCATCCTCTATGATTTCCCCACAAAGAAGCCCCAGCCATTTGCATATACAACTCAAGATTTACTCTACAAGGAACTTCGACAGTGCCAGTTCTCAGAGAGTGAATGGAAAAGGTATCACCAGTTGGAGAAAAATGTTACAGAGTGGACATTAATGTTGATATTTCTTATATATTTCCTGACTTTATCCATGATCATCAATGTGAGGGATGGTTAATGTTTGTACTCCATTTAACTAGTACCACAGTTCAAGTTTATAACTTTTTTTAATTTTTAAAACTTGCTGCTTCTCTTGGTTAGAACTTTCATATTTAAATTTTAAAGTACAGTCAATCTCATGATTGCACCATTGCGTTTCTTTGTGACAAAATGGTGCATTATGAAGGAATAAACGGACAAATTACATCCAGTTCATTTCAAAGGGGAAATGGTTTTTATTTTTTCATCAACAACATAACAAACATCAAATACATTCAGTAGTAAAGAAAACAAAACATTATCTTTTTTTAATAAGCAACTCAGCCATTGTTATAGCCAATTGAAAATGTCATGATGTATGTGACAATAGACTCTGTTACAAAAGGAAACATTAGGGAGTTTAATGTACGGTCACTACGGACTACGGACTACGGTAATACACAAATGAATAAAGGGGTAAGTTTCTAAAGAAACTGTGGTGCTGCGTCGGTGGGAGAGTATAGCAGGTAATTTAGTGTTAACAACTGGGTTGAAAACGTAAATTAGCCACCGTAAAGGGTAAAAAAGCTGACGTTTCGAGCGTTAGCCCTTCGTCAGTAATCGCAATCGCTCTGACGAAGGGCTAACGCTCGAAACGTCAGCTTTTTTACCCTTTACGGTGGCTAATTTACGTTTTCAACCCAGTTGTTAACACTAAATTACCTACGGTAATACACGGCGAGGACCTGTTCGAGATTTACTGCGCATGCTCGATAGCACGTGGGTTTCGCAGTCCGTCGTGTGGTTGCAGGCTACGGGGAGTAGTCGAGGAGATTCGCGTAGTGAGGACTACGTAAGTATTTTTTTGCTGATTTTTGACCAGTTTTGTTTTCTAAACGCTACTTTTATGTTGAACAGTCTTTAGGCAATTAAACTTGAGCGAAAAAGAAGCAAAAACCGCATTTTTTTTCTGTTTCTGGTTCTGATTACTGACGCCCTTTGAATTCTGTTGTGTTTACAAGCAGATTAGGATGTCAACAGGAGATGAAAGCAGGTAATTCACTTTCTTTTTTCTACTTTTCAAAGGTGAACTGCGAACTTTGTTGGAAGTATGTACTTTTTCCAAATCAAAATAGATTGTAAAAGCTTTTACAGGGTTCGTACAGGTCATGGAAAACCTGGAAAGTCATGAAATTTAAGAATTCATTTTCCAGGCCTTGAAAGTCATGGAATTTAATTGTCGGTCATTGAAAGTCATGGAAAATTGAAGTTATGTTTGCTAGACTAGTTCGTGCACAGTCCAAAATAAGGACAAAAAGACGTAATTAAACGGCTTTTAGAAATGGCACATATGGTGGACACTAAAGTGTTATCTGTTGCACTGAGTAAGGTAAATACCCTAAATAAAAACAAGGATAGTTTTGAAAATTTTCTTAAGTGACAGCTATAACCAAAGTCATGGAAGACTGGAAAAGGTCATGGAAAAAGTAATGGAAAGTCATGGAATTTGAAGGGCTCAAAAGAGTACGAACCCTGTTTTATATAAACGGAAACTTCATTGTCAATCATGACACTGACTGGGTATTTGTTTGTCTCTTTAGTGTGTGCTCCAGTGGCGAGTCAGCCGTCTCTGTTCGAACAAAGTAAGCTCACATGTCTGAAAATGGCATTTGTATAAATCGTTTTTCAAATGCTCATACATTAATTTATATACTGGTTTTGTGTCCTAAAATTGATATGCAGAAGGAGAGTTGAAGCTTGGGAAGGGAAGTTAATGGAGAACTATGGTGAATCAAAATCTGATACAATGACCAAATTGGGAGTCTTATGTTTACTTTGGATTTAAAATTAATGTTTTTTTGAATTTAACCTTGTTTCCCAAATAAAATAATTTACTGACTGGAGACAGCAGCCTAAGGACAGCTTTTTATGGTGTTATTGATCAACAGGTGATAAAACGTGATTGGCAGGATGCAATTTTGTACTAAGAAAATACTTTGATGCTACGTATTAATTTTATAAAATGTGTTCCTTTTTACTGGGCCGTTTCGCTGGATTGAAGCAAAAAATACTCTGCTCCTTCGGGAATTATACTCCTCGGAGCCATTTCTGTACAAAGTGGGCAGCAAGTAAGCTGGCCAAAAATGGACAGAAGTAGCCGAAAAACTAAACTGCTTCAATCTTTTTAGAGACATGCCTCAGGATCAGCGAAGTGTGAGGGAACAATTTAACAAGCTGTTAAAAGACTACAAGAACAAGAAAAACAAAGAAGAAAAAGCAAGTGGGATCAACCCTGATCCACCAACAGAAAACGAAACATTGCTTGAGGAAATAGTTGCGGCCATGGAGTCAACAACACTTCGTGTAGGAAATGCAAACAGCAAAAAAGATGACCAGAAGAGGAAGGATGCACTTGCATGTAGAGATAAAGCCATGATCACGTGGGCAAAGGCTGGAGCAAGTGGTGAAGCCTCTGGTTCTGGGGACGAAAGTGCCACAGAGAAGAAGACTGTAGAGAGAAGAGGAAGAAAAAGAAGAGCTAGTTCTGATCCTTTCCAGTATTTAGCAGAGAAAACAGCTAAGGAAACAGACCTCAGAAAAGAAGAGCTGGAACTTCAAAGACAGCAGCTGCAACTTCAGGCTGAGCAGCAAACAGAACAATTCAAAGTGCAACAAGAGCAGATGAAGCAAATGATGCAAAGTCAAATGAACACACAAAACCTTGTTCTTGCTCTAGTACAGAAACCTACAAAGTGATAACATTTAAGAGTTTTGTTGTTTGAGAGCTTGGCTGTTTTGCCATCCCATACATTCAATTTAAAGGGGCATTTTGCATTTTTTGGAGACTCTATTACGTTGTTGTTTGTTTCACAGAACCTTTAACAAACTGTTGCATTTTTCTATTAGTTCAGAAAATTCCCCAAAAATACATAAGCATGCATGGTGAACTTTGTTTGGTGAATTATTGTGAGTAGAAACAAGAAAAAGGATAACTTGTTTATTGTTCATGTTTTCCATAATACAGGAATTTAATATTTTTTACCAAAATGGTCATGAAATTTTTATTTCTTTGACGGTTTGGATCCATTATCTTTTTCATACAGGAATTAAGTTAACAGTGAATAGTCACTGTATTAGTTCATAGTAAAGTTGTTGCACATACCGTAGATGATTACCATGGCAACTGCATACTTAAGTTTAAGGTTTAACAAATTCATTCCATTACAAAAACATAAACTTATTGTCAATCAGAGTTTTCTGTGCCCTTCCTTCCTGGTTCAGACCCTCTCCTTGACCCAACACCCGGCAAACAAAGACAACTCTGACCAATGTTTTAAAATCTGATTAGTACTTCATAAGAACTTAATGGGTTATGCGAAAAGGCCGCTTTGTCCTGGATTTAAGTGAACATTTGTTTTATTCTTTTTTTAAGCCTTGCTACTTTCTCTTTTTAAATTTCATTTTCACGGACAGAAGACTCACCAGACACTAGCAGTAATCTTGAATGAAAAAATAAAACCTGAAATCCTGGATTAGCTGCTAGAACAACCTAATATATTTTGTAACTTGGCATCGGGCTCAGACATCTCTACTTGATATACTGTGATGCCATTAGGCCAAATAGTCTTGAACAGTTGGTGGATCAAGTTGAAAATGTGTTGATGTTGTGTTACCATAAAGGCAGGTGAGAATATTTCTAAACAGTGCAGACACTATATACTGCTTTCCAACTGCGCTTAATCCTAACTTTAAGTTTTTCTTGAAATCTAAGAACTTGAACGACTTGGAGATATCGCCAAATAGCCATTCCACCGAAGCTCTAGCAGAACTCATTGCTGAATTAAATGCTTCCATATCGGCTGTAAATACTGGAACCTCCCCTATTCGGTAAGGGGCCATTAAATGAGGACGAAGAGGGTAAGCTGGGTCTCCATAGAGACATAGGACGTCCCCCCTTGGATTGTAAGCTTCTTTTTCCAGCATTTGCAGCATGCCAGAGTCTTTAAGCATCCCTGCATCGTGGCGTGCACCCTCCACCGGACCATAAAGATTTGCTATCAAACCATTTGGCACTACTACGGATTGAAATTTTAGCGCATGAACACGCTTGTGCCCGTTGTATACAACGCGCTGTTTTTCTCCAGGGCAACATATGAGGCAAGCCGTGCCGTCAATGAAACCAAAACAATTGGTAAGTGGACTTCCTTGTCTTGCTATAGCACAGGCGTATTCTTGAAGGCAAGCAGGGGTAAGAAATGGCTGATTCCAAGAGGTTAAACGAAACCCATGTTCATTAAAAACCCAATCAAGTACAGTGTTAGCGATCATGCACAGCTCTGGCACCGGACGTCCAAAAGTTGAAATTAAATCGAAATAGCGGCATGGGTATGCTAGTCGTTTTAGCAGTAAACAAAGTCCTTCTAAGCCACTGCAAACTGTTCCCTGTGGGCACTTGAAACTCGCCAGAATCCGCAATGCGTTCAATAACATCGGAATATCATCCTTGGCCACCCTGAAGTGAGCTTCGCACTCGCAAGAGTCGAACACATCCAAACAGAATGGATCAAAATTACAGTACGGAAATGAAGGATTAACGGGTTGGTAATAATCGTAAAGAACAATAAACTCTTCATCATCCAGAAAACCATCCGCATAAGCGATTAAAAGGGCGTTTCTAGCATCTTCGAAGGACATTTTTTTTTCCAAGTGCAGCCATAGTCCGTAGTCGTTGTCACGATCTTAACGTCAAACAACACTCCAATTTTCGCGCCCTTTTAGCGTAGTCGGCCCAGTCCACGCGTGGCTTGGATTCTCACGCCCAGACGTAGTCCGTAGTCCGTAGTGACCGTATCTTAAACTCCCTATTAAGAAGAAGGAAAGTGACTCTACACCAATCTACAATTTTTAGACACTTGAGCCAACACCATGACATGACAAAAAATGAAACCAGCTGGCAATGAGTAATTATGAACTGGTATCATGACAAGTGAAAATATCAAGACAAATCATGTTTCGTTGTTAATTATGCACCAGTTCAGCTCCAATTCCTAAACTATTATGACAACACAACATGCCCAACGTATCTCACTGTAGTAATCCAAAAGTGAATTTGACAAAGAGGGGACTATTCAACAGACCCCATGCCCTTCTCTCTCTATCTCTCTCTCTCTCTCCAAAACTTATCAGATAGACAGTTACGAATTAAAGTGGCTTGGTGACATGAATCTCGAACTGGTGGACTTCGAATCATTTGCAACAGGTTTCTTATAAATTCCCTGTCTCTTCTCTCTCCAGTCACAGGATCAATAGACCTTTTTACAGTTCCCGACGCCATATTGGATTAGAAACCGCGCACACATGACAACGAGGCTGGGGTTGACTCGTCTTAAATCTCTGTGAGCGATTTTAGTGAAAATTCGTACGTGGGTAGTAAAATTGTTCGATTTTTATGGAAATGAATGGTCCTTGCCGAAATCTCGACAAAGGTAATTCTTCTTCTAAAAAAAAAGGAAACCAGTGTGTCGCTTTTGGTTGTTCAAATACATTTTATGGTCCCAATGGTTTGCCTTCGAGCTTGCACTTCTTCAAGTTTCCGAAGGATACGAACAGAAGACGCCGATGGTACAATCTCATCGAACGTCAGCATGGGAAAGATGGCTTTTTCGTGACAAATTCAACGGTGGTTTGCTCAAAACATTTTCGAAAAGAAGACATACGGAAAGCTTTAACAGGCCGCTGGGAATTAGTGTCAGGTTTGTCTTCAAAAGACTATATTCATCTATCACTACATTTTTTGCTGATCACCCTAATTTCGATTTCACCACCACATTGTTTTTATCGGATATTATGTTTATTGGTTGCTCTATTTCAACTTATATTTCTATGAAATATACGAATAAAGGCCACCAAGATTATAAGATTTGATGCATGCCTCTTTATTTTGTCTTGGGCCCAAATTTATTAACCTAAATGAACCTGAATGTTATTGTTTCATGTATTTTCAAGTTCTGAACCATCCCAGTTTACATGAACGGTGGAAACTCCGAAGAGGAAGCCCCTCCAAAGAAGAAGGCTTTTCACTTCTTTAACATCTAGAAGTTTAAAAACTGTTGAAGAGGAAGATGAATTTTGTGTTGAAACTGGAGAAAGTGCTTTAAATGATATTATTTCAGCTTCACCAGATGCTGCTATAAATGTGAGTATGCCAGACCTGCCTGTGGATCCTGCAGCTACAGTGCTAAATCTACTCAGCAGAGTTGAAATGCTAGAAAAGCAAGTGTCCACACTGGAGGAAAAGGTATTGCAGTTGGAGAAGGAAAAGGAAGCTTTGCTTGCACGCCAGTTTTCTCTGAACAAAATTAAAGGCAACAATGCAGCAATGCTTTTTTACACTGGCTTTCCCAATTATAAGGCTTTGATGAGCTTTTATAATTATATTGAACCCAAAGTCAGTAAAATGCAGTACTGGAAAGGAGAGAAACTCTTGAAGGAAAGTCAGCCCTATCAGATGGATAAGAACAAAATAAAACCAGGACCTTGACGTACACTCACCTACCTCGAAGAGTTTGTTCTTGTCCTATTGCGACTGAAGGCAGAATTGTTTGTACATGATCTTCCTGACAGGTTTGGAATAAGCACAAGTCTTGTTTCACGTATTTGCATTACATGGGTAAATTTTCTTTCCATGGAACTTCCTGGACTCTTTCCCTTCCCATTACAAGAATTAGTCAGAAAAAACATGCCTCAAGAGTTTTCTGAATATCCTACCACAAGAATTATTTTGGATTGCAGTGAAGTATTTATACAACGACCATCTGCAATGCTGGCACAATCTGAAACTTGGTCAGATTACAAACACCATAACACATGGAAAGTGTTGGTGGGTGTTACTCCAAATGGTCAGGTGTCCTTTATTTCAGACTTGTGGGGGGGAAGAGTTTCAGACAAGCAAATCACACGAGGAAGTGGTGTTCTCAATCTATTAGAGCCTGGTGACAATGTCATGGTTGACAGGGGCTTTGATATTTCAGATATTGTGTCAAATGGCGTAATAGTAAACATGCCTCCTTTCTTGGCTGGAAGGCATCAGATGACTGGGGTAGAAACTCAGGAAACTAAGAGCATCGCCTCTTTGCGCATACATGTCGAACGAGCAATTGGGAGGATAAAGACCTACCATATACTGGATGAAACACTTCCAAACACTTTGAGCCTCATTGACAAACTTTCTTCCTCCATTATTAAAGTCAACTTATCAACAGTAGTTTAATTGAAATACTCCAACCCACAGACAAAAAAGGTTACAAGGACGTTATATAATTTAACCCTTTCACTCGCAGGATCCCTTTAGTTACTCTTCCCACTGTCTGCTATACATTTCTTATGATACAAGTTTGGAGAATTTGGTTTTGAATCAACTAGTAATTCCCTATTTGAAGTTTTCCTTTTCTGTTTGATATTGTATTGATATTTTAACAAGAAATTCACTTTTGATCACTTATGGGAGTTTCAGAATTCAAAGGTTTTAATGGGCCCTGCTAAATCTTAACTTCAGTCCATTTGCTGAACATGAATATTGCCCATATGGCTGCCACCCACCATGGAAGTACAAAAGTTTGCCTCTTTCAAACCTTTTGGTTAGCATTTCAGGATAGAGAGCCCTTTTGAAAAAAAAATTCATGTCTAGGTAAGAGTTCTTGATTCCAGCGAAGGCTTTCCATAAGAATTTTCTCTTTGAAAAGAGGCATTTCCTCACCAAAGTAAACAATAACATGAATACTTTCAATATTTAAGTCTGTGGCAACAAAAAGTTGGCCCTGGACTTGAATGTAATAATCACGGTTTCTTTTTAGTCTAATTGTTCCATCATTAAGTTTTTCCAGAAAGAAGGTTTTACTTTTGCATGCATCTTCCACTCTCATGCCCACTTTGCTAAATGGTGATTTAATTTATACCCCCCATTTTTCCTGGGTAGTTAGGTTTGTTACAATTCCATCCAGGCTTGCTGCTAAAAAGGGCTTATCTTTAGACTGCAAAAGTCCAACTTCATCCACTTTAACAGTGATTCCTTCCTGCTCCATCTCCTTGACATAGAGGGCTATAGCCTTTGCCTCGCTTTCTATGCTATACTGAACAGCTTCAGTGGCAAAATTCGAATAGAGCATTGCCTTAAGTTTTTTTGTAGGTTCAACTTTGGTTTTGGCGGCCTTGCCGAAATTTGAACGTGTTAGAAGCGATTTTCATTTTTCAATCCACAAGGGGTTTTTCTTTTGACCCCTTGTGATCCTTTCAGTTTCGATAATCTCTTCACTAGTGGCTGTTAAATTTGCAACATATTCGTCTACAATACTTTTAAACCTGTGCGTTGCAATGTCATAATTGTCAGTAAAGGGTACTTCCTGTGGATCGATCTGTCCATTGTTTGAGGCTGATTGAAAGGTGATACCTCTGCATTTAGATTTGATACCGTGGAAGAGAAAGAAGGAACTTGAGGGCAAGCAGTTTTGGAGGTTCTCGCAGAGTTTTTTGAAGCTAGTCTCATCACGTGTTCTCATGTCTGGGGCCCTAGGATCAAACTTTATTATTTTTTTTGGCTGGGTTCTTATGTTCTTCTTACTGAATCGAATCTTTCTGATCAATACTTTGTCGATTGGCTTCGCTGCTACACTTTGATTGCGCGGTATCACCCACACTGAGAGCCGTGATGTGCAGGTTAATGGCTCTGAGTTATTTTGCAACCCTCTTCTTATAAAATCCTCGATAGCAAACAGCACTCCGATGTGGTTGTATTTTCCTTTTCCTCGGAGACCGAGGCCAGTAGGGCACGTACACGCTGCGCGTAGCACATCGTAGGTACGTGAGAACTCGAGAATATCTCTGTAAGGCGTTTTCTTCATAGAGGGGAGAACATTTGCCTTAACATATGTTTTGTTTTCAAAGACTTTACTCTCCAGTTTTTTCACGTTTCCTTCAAAGAAGCACTGATAAGATTTCAACTTTTTGTAATGCGTTCCTTTCAACACGATGTGGCGATACTTTCGTGTGGAAACAACGAGGTAATCGTAGAGCTGAATGAAATTCATCTCGGGTAAGTTACGGAGATCGCTCGACCATCCAAGGGCTGAAATCCTTACCATAGTTGCTTCGTATTTAAAGTCGCTCTTGTTTTGTTCTAGGTCCTGGACATCTGTAAGAAGTTCTTGGTTTTCTCCACCACTCGATGGAAAGACATGTCGCATCAGCAAAGCATAAACTTTCATCACTACGTCGGCTCTCATTCTGCCCGTCGATTCTGAATTAGACCTTAAAATTTCCCTGAGATCTCTTTGCTTTGAGTTTCTGGATGTCATCTAAAGACGAGATTTCTATATAGTTGTATTTAAGAACCATTTTGAAGGGAGAACTCGCATTAAAATGTGCATTAGGACGCGAAATGTTAGCAGATCAGCTGTTTAAAAGAACTGCCGGGTCAACCCCAGCCTCGTTATCATGTGTGCGCGGTTACTAATCCAATATGGCATTGGGAACTGTAAAATGCTCTATTGTTAAATCCGTTTTTCCTGACAATTAGTCTCCATGATTTATGCATACGTTGTGTAGTACAATACAAGCCACTGTTACATTTTGCACATTCTTCTGACTACAATCATTCCTTCGAAATAGAACTCGCAATCGCTCCTTGAGCTGACCGTATGCCCCCTCATTCACCATCCTTGCTCTACTTAGGTGGTAGTTAAAGTATTTCTGTTTTTCAGTGAGGACCACATTGGTATATGGTTTCATCAGCCAGGTCTGAAAGGGAAAAGCTGAGTCACCAACTATTAAAGGAGGTACATCAACCCCGCCAACATTTTTAGCAATCCCTGGAAGAATTTTACCCTGTGCTATTTCTTTCCATAACGTAGTTGATTGCACGATGATGATTGAGTCATGTGAATTGCCAGGATACCTACAACTTGCCCACATAAACCTGTACTTGGCATCGACCATCCCCATTAGCACGATAGAGTAAAAGTTTTTAAAATTGTTTTACTCTTTAGATGACTCTAAACCTCCCAGGGGACATTTAATAGGTATGGAGCGTTATTAGGGTCAAATTTAGAAAACAAATTATGTTACGGTGTTTGATATTTCATTCGGCCAAACTACAGAATTATGTTCCAGCGTTGCATGGAATTATGTTCGGCTCTTTTAACTTCAATAAAAAATGCAATAAACTATGTTCGGCTCTTTTAGAATTGTGTTGGGAGTATTTCACTTATAACTAGGCTAGCAGTTTTTTTGAGTTTAGTCCAATTTTGTTCGGCTCCTCCGAATTATGTTCGGAACGCGGCTACTCGAATTATGTTCGGCAAGTAGACTGGTAGCCTCGTGATAAGAAATTCACGAGGAGTCCCGGGGCGAGAAACATTTCCCGCGCTCTCTATAATTTATTCTAATTATTACCAGTGTTCGTGTACTGTTCTGTCGAACATGGCGGACAACAAACGTGGAAGAGGCGATCGCGACGAAAACCAAGAAAATCGAAACGAATGCAAAAGTGCTAAAGCAATTAAACTTCTACGGGAAGTTACCTCGCTTCTCAGTGAGGGTGATAGCGAACCATATCAACCGACAGCTGAACAGATTAGTCAAGCACATGGTCAGGTTGGAGCAAGTGGTATTGTGCAAAATTTCCGCAAACTGTTTGCCCCCTACAGTGTTCATAACAGTACTCCTTTGTCATCTTCGAGGCAAACCAAGAGGAACTATCCGAAACCAAAACTATCTCAGCCAAAAGAAACGTGGACACACGAGTTCTTCTGTTTGGCTGCGAAAGACCAGTCCCGAGCTCCAACAAGAGCAGCCAAATTCGCCTTACAACAGGCTGGCCTGGGGAGACGAAAAATCTGCTTTCATAACAAAGCAAAGTTCGCTGAGTTTCGGCAAAAGTTAGAGGAAGCGTTTCCAAAGCTCTGCGAAGGTGGGGGGTTTGAAATAATGCGAACTGGTCATCAGGGTAGTAACTCCTCCCTCACCACCATAACACCTCCGGCAAGTGGTTACTCGGTACCTTTCCTACGAGACAGCTCCAGTCTGGGGCAGGCTCTGGCGTACATTCGACCCCTGCAACGCGACTTGGACAGCAATCCTGTATTTGAGGTAACATTCCTTCTCCTTATTGTTGTTCTGATCGATATAGCCTGGAAATCTTTATTTTTTAAAATTTAAGGGTCTTAAGCATATGCTGGTCATTTAATTTTAGTCAAGTTTTATTATGTCTGAGCTTTGTTCACCCCAAAATATGACAGTTTATTATATGGGTTTGAACCCTGGCCAGGGCACTGCGTTGTGTTCTTAGGCAAGACTCATTACTCTCACCGTGCCTCTCTCCACCCAGGTGTATAAATGGGTACAGCTGGGTACCGGCGAATTTACTGCTGGGGGTAACCCTGCACTGGAGTAGCATCCCATCCAGGGAGACTAGAAATACTCCAAGTTGCTTGTTCTGTACTTATTACCTGGTAAAAAAAGGTCATCTTAGCAAAAAAGCACAGGAAACACACACAGTTGAACTGGAAGAGTATTTTAAAAATTGATGCGCACCTGTTCCCTTTTTTCCTGGGCCCAGTTGTTCAAAGAGTGGATAACCCTTTCCACCCAATAAATCACTATCCAGTAGATAAGTGTTGGCAAAAGAAACTGCACTATCTACTGGATAGTGATTTATCTGCTGGATAGCGTTATCCAACCTTCAAACAACTGGGGCCTGGCCTTTAATTATTGGAGGCATTGTTTGTTTTCAGTAACTAGACATTGAAAGAGGGTCAGGGTCACATAACCATCAATTTGATGTGTGTTTGGGTTTTATAGGAACCGTCAGAATCTGCTGATGCAGTTCTAATTAACTGTCTGAAGTGTGGAAAGGGGATTCCATTAAGTCAATGGCATGCACATGACAATGGGAATTCTACAGAAAGTAGTATCCGTGAAGGTTCTGGTGACATCCAAGGTGGTAACCTTGAAGCTACAAGTTCATTAAATAGAGGTAAGAAATTTTACAACAACAAATGAACAAAGATACTTACAACTTACAAGCAACTTTACTAATAAAAAAGTCTGGCTTTTCCTTTTTTGCTAGGATGCCTAAAAACTCTGAGGGAAATGTTTCCAGGTGAAACTGAAGAAGATCTGATTCGTATTCTCACAAAGAATAACTTTGATTTGGAGAAGTCAGCAAATGACATTTTGTGCAGTAATGCAGGTGCGAGTAAATGTATATTGATTTTGTGTACAGGTGAAATGTTTGCAAAATAGGTACTGAGTATGGATGTACAAGTTGGCACTATCTTTTCCAAAGCCAGTTCATGTGCATGTACTACCAAGGAAGAGAGGTGGAACTTAAATTTGAGGAGCTTATAACAAGAAAAATCATACTGGATCTTGTGACATTGTTTCTTTAGAAAACGAAATAAAAAAAAAACGAATCAGTTTTCACCTTAACATTTTGTGACATGGGTGGTAACAGTGAACACTGTGCATTCTATTGTAGCTAATTTTATTGTAGTCAAACCTTTTCTTATGGCAGGGGTCATCTCTACCAAACAAACTCTATTATTCTGACCCTGTCTATTATATTGTCTTACTTCACACTGCAGGTACTGCACATGTATGTAATTCCATCTATTATGGGGATATTGGTCTTGGTTCCACATCAGACTCAGACTCAGAGCTATTAGAAAGTCCATTCAACACTCCAAGTGCAGACAGTACTACACCACCAGCATCCAAAGCATTCTCAACTCTGGTAGAGCTAATGCAGTGTCATAAAAGGTCCTTAAAACTAAATGAAGATCATGTCAAGCATATCGGTGCTTACTGGGATGAATTCTGGAATGAGAGTATTGTTGTCTTCAAAAATCCACAGTTTGACTTCACAGCAGCCCCTAGAATAGTATTTGCAGGAGAAGCAGGTGTTGATGCAGGAGGGCTAGGTAGAGAATATCGCATACTGTTGCGTAATGCAATATTCTCAGCCAAAGCCAACCTTTTCGAAGGGCCAGAAGATAGGAAAGTGCCATTATATTCGATTGATGCCATTAACTCCAGGTTGTTTCAACTTGCTGGTAAAATGGTATCATATCTAATTGTACATTTAGATATAGGCATTCCCTGTCTTAGTCCAGCAGCCTACAACTACATTGCGACAGAATCTGTTTCCCCTGAGTGCTGTTCAGTTGATGACATTGTTGATTTGGAGCTCAAGGACCTTATCTCAAAGGTAAATAGTTTCACTATATGGCAGTAAAAATACTTCACCTTTAAGGTGACCGCTAAAAGTCTTACCCATTTTCCACCATGTTCACTTTGATCAGTCAGTACTAACACTCTTTATCAGTTACTGTTATAGTAATGGTATGACACAAATGCTCAATCATTAGTGAGCATGTCATAATTTTTTTTGCCATAAGTGGTTACCATAGCAACAGTATAACCCCTTAAAAATACCCTTAATGTTAGCTTGGGGTAACCATGCGTTTTTAGAGATAGTCAAGCTTTAATCTGGAACAAAAATGTTGACTCAGCATTGCTTCCAAAAAAATGTATATTTCATCGCAGATTTCCTTAGAATTCACCTTTTCGCCATACACAAAACAAACACTAAATATATAAACAGTAACACAACAAGGACTTTTCATATCATTCTAATCTAAAATCATCACAATGGCATATAAGGAAGTGAACCTTTTTTCATCCCCACCAAAATAATATTGATGATGGAGTCTGGGAGATGGTCACTTCCAATTTGACTGAAAACTTTATGTTCTTATATTCATGAATCACAGGTGACTGCTGCTGCAGGCAGTGAAGACCTACAAGAGGTTGCTAATGATGAATTTCTTGGGAATGCACTTATAAATGCAGGATGGCTGAAGCCTCTCACAATACTCAAAAGAAATCATGCAATGCAGACACTTATTGTGCATGATGTGCAGAAAAAACGACAAGAACCACTGGATCAGTTCCGTAAAGGACTAGAGACACTGGGAATTCTTGGCCTTATCAAATCCCATCCAGACCTGATGGGCGCTTATTTCCTGAATACTTGGCAAGCAGCTTTGACAAGTCAGGAAGTACTTGAATGCCTGGAGTTCCAAGAAGAAGACAATGACAAGGAGGCCAATTATTTCCTTGTTAAAGCCATTCAAAATTTGGAGAATGGTTTGTGTCGAAATGTTATATAATAATGATGATGATGTGTGTCTGCATGTATATGACTTAAGTTGAAACCCAAAAGACATGCCTGTTTTCTTGGTGGGTTAAGGGGGCTTTTATCAAGGCAGCAGGGATGCACATGTGAAAAGCACAATGATGGGGAGGGTACAAGTTTAACTTGGAACACTAGTTTCATGTTTACAATAAGTGAATTTGTAGATAATAGTATGCAGCATTCATTCTGATGTCTGCAAATCAAGAATCCCTCCCATTGTCATCATGATAAGTCATTGAAGGGACAGAGTATTGCTACAAAAAATGAAAAATTGTTTTCAGGAAACCTACTGTGAATTGTTTTTTTCTCTCTTTTTTTTAACTATCAGGAGTAATGAATTATTGTGCCAATAAATGTCAGCTTGATCTCACTGGGGTACTGTGACTGTTCTCATGTATTCATTTTTATGTTTCCTCTTTCAGAACAAGGAAGTGCTGGACTGGAAAAGTTTTTTCGCTATGTGACATCCCTGGACAAAGTTCCTCCACTTGGCCTTAGTAGGAAAGTTGAAGTTGAATTTTCTAACAACAGCAACCAAGCATTTTTTGCAGAAACTTGTAGCATGGTGTTAAAGGTACCAACTGCGCACAAAAGTTTTGAGGATTTCCAGGAAAAATATTTAGAAGCCTGCGAGAATTATATTGGTTATGGTTCCATTTAATTCTAGACATGGACTTCGTAAGGATCTCTTTTTATTTATATTGTTACAGTTTACAAGCCACTAGTTTTGACTGCATTGCTCACGTTAATCACTGTTGAATTTTGAAATGTAACAAATGTATCTCCTCTGCCAGCTTGTCAGAGTGTAGTCTCGGCCATGATGATGTTTTTTTTTCTTCGGTTATTCAAAAGTAAAAATCTAGCGCCGGGACTTGAAATGAAAAATGTTATACTACAGGCCACCTTTGGAATGTTTTGGTTTGGTCGAGCATTTCTTAGAAGCAAATATAAGAACTCTTTCTAAGTTAAAAAATGGATGTGACAGACCATTAGTGTTTTCAAGAAATGGATGTCATTATCAGTAATTACAAGTTCTTGCACCTTTTTTAACGGTTGTACATATTTGGATGTTTTATTAAACTCATTTCATTCATATAATTTGTCCCTTTTTTTTAAATCTTCAACTGCTCGTTGCTGTTTCTTGAAGAAATGTTAGTACCTCCAGGTAGATGTCAACTCCATATTCATCACTGTTGCGTAGAGCGTTAATTAAGTTTGTGAGTGATGAGTACTGAGCTGGTTCCAGTGGGTTTGTTGTGTTGGGAACTTCAACTGGAGTTTCATCATCTAAGCTAACATCTGGTGCAGGGCCATCCCAGTCAACACCATAGTAGTCACCCTGAAAAACATGTAAACAACACATTTCATGATGGCTGTATGCCACACGCATGTTGTGAACCAATTTACTGCGACGTACTTCTTGTTAATAAAAAAAATTGCAATTAATCTGTTATTGTTTCTTCATAATCCTGGAAGAAAATTGTTCATGAAGACTACTCAGGTAGATTTATTCTCCAAGCTACTTTACATGTAAGAGCTATTATTGTGACTGCACTTTTGGAAACAAGCTGAAAGGTTGTACTTCTCCACTTGTGTCGACCACAAATTGGATAACATGAGAAACAAGTCTGAAAATCACTATAACATTGCATGAATATCAAAACTATAACAGATTCTTGCAAAGTCCTTATCCCTCCCTCCCCACCCTTCCCTTTTCAAAACACACCTGACTCCAGAATTCATCAATTCCACGATTTGAAGCTGAGACAGCACCAGAGATCCACAGTTGAAGAGGACTCTTTCCCCTCTCTGTAGAGATGGGAGCCCTGTTATGCCCTTGGGCAAATAATTGCATTGTTTGGTTAATTCTTGGAACATACACAAAGTGAAGGGTAAATAAATGAAACTCATTTGATGCGTCAAGCATTCCATAACGTTCCATTGCATAGAAAAGATTGTAGTATACATGAAGACATCCACAAAAAAGGTCTCTCCAAAGACGTTCTATTCTTTGGTTATGTACACTTCGCCCAGCAATATGGCTCCCTCTATCAGGTCCGTGTAACGGGTGACTCAACATGTAAAGTGCAACGTCTACATTCTCGCCACCCTTATCAGACCGTACTCTTGAAGGTAGACCAAAACTCCCAACTGCTTGGAGAAAGCAATCGAGTACCGTACTTGCCAGGTTATTGGTGCTGCATTTCAAAAAACAATCATTCTCGAGAAGCCGTCAATTCCGCCATGTATTACAAATCGCCATCTGAAAATTAACAAACAGTCAAAACCTTTAACTATCCTGGTCTCTGATGACTCTATCCGACCCCACCACCCATACCCTTGTCGTTGTGTTTGATAAGTATAGAAACCACCAAATGGTGGAACAATGTGCAGGTAAGTTTTTGCGACTTCAAAATTGTTAGATATCGTTAGTTTTGTTAGTGTTCATACCTTGTGTACAGTTCTCACCGTACACAAGGTGTGAACTGCTTGGCATATAACGAGGTTTCATACATTTACCTTATTAGTTTATGATTCCCGTCGATATGCCACAAGGCAAGAGGGCCACTAACTTGATATCTTCTCCGGCGAACAGTTCGCAGCTCAAGGACTCTCAGGAGGACGCCCTCGGGATTGACTCTTCTCATACACTCCCTGATGCGATTTTGCTGGATTCTATGACCTGAATTGAGCAAGAGGCCTGTCATCCTCTTGTAGCCACAATTGAGAAATTCTCTCATTAATTCTTCAACAAGGCCATCCAAAGTTTCATCAGTAATATTTGAATATCTTTGCCTCACAAATGTTTCATACTCGCGAATTCTTCATTTAACAGTGCTTTCACTGACACCAAGCAGAGATGCAATCTCTCCGGATTTAAACCCCAAATCTAACAAAAACTCGAGCTGATCCTTTGCAATGATAATGCGTGGTCTTCCTTGCTCGCCAGTAGTTGCAACCTCTGCTTGAAACGCGACGTTCTCACTACAACTACCATTCTCATTTTCTCTTAGCAGTTCTTTCGCTTCTTGAATAAGGGCCAGTACTGCCTCCCCAGAAGGGATATTGTCACAATAACGTACAACAGCATTGTATAACCAGTCGAGGCGGAATTGTATTACATCATTCTGACCAGTACTTCGTTGAAGACAACTTATGATATCAGTTACATGTCTGCTTAATTCTACAGAAATCGACTCGTCCGCCATGTTCGACAGAACAGTACACGAACACTGGTAATAATTAGAATAAATTATAGAGAGCGCGGGAAATGTTTCTCGCCCCGGGACTCCTTGTGAATTTCTTATCGCGAGGCTACCAGTCTACTTGCCGAACATAATTCGAGTAGCCGCGTTCCGAACATAATTCGGAGGAGCCGAACAAAATTGGACTAAACTCAAAAAAACTGCCAGCCTAGTTATAAGTGAAATACTCCCAACACAATTCTAAAAGAGCCGAACATAGTTTATTGCATTTTTTATTGAAGTTAAAAGAGCCGAACATAATTCCATGCAACGCTGGAACATAATTCTGTAGTTCGGCCGAATGAAATATCAAACACGATAACATAATTTGTTTTCTAAATTTGACCCTAATAACGCTCCATAAATAAGGACGTTCCGGTTTTAGAAGAATGCACTCAACTGAGATGGTTGTAACTTATTTCGCCGACAAGATTTCATGAATATGAATAAGGGCTTAGTCACTGGTTCTGTGTTTATTGACCTGGTAAAGGCTTTTGACACAGTTGACCATGAAAATTAGAGTATTATGGCATATGTGACGAAAGCCTTCCATGGTTTAAGAACTACTTCACGGGAAGAAAGCAGTTTGTGCTCATTGATTCTCAATCACCTGAAGAGCTTGCCATAACTTCTGAATTGCCGCAAGGGTCCATCCTCGGACCCCTGTTATTCATTGTCTACATTAATGATTTACCACGTTGTGTCAAACACTGTTCTGTAAATATGTACGCTGACAACACAGTTTTATATATCTTGCTGGCCCAACAGTAGACAATTTAACTTTTTACATTAACCAAGATCTTCAGTGTCTATCTGAATGGCTAGAAGACAACAGTCTTGTTCTCAATGTTTCAAAAACTAAGTGTGTACTATTTACATCTTGAAGGCATAAAGGGCGCGATTGTATCTTAAATCTTAATCTTCTCGGAAAGTCCATATCTTGCGATACTTCTTTTAAATACCTAGGCGTGGTGTTCGACAATTTTATGACTTGGAAGGCTCTCGCGGACTACGTGTGTAAAAAGGTGGCGTCAAGAGTTAGTATTCTGGGCCGTATTAGAAGATTCGTCACAAAAGAGGCAGCAACACTTGTTCATAATGCTTTAATTCTTCCCTTATTTGATTACTGCAACATTGCCCGGAGTAACCTTCTACAGCAAGATATAGATCGACTACAGCGCTTTCAAAATAGATCAGTACGAATTATTACACGTTGCTCTCGTTCATCTGAAGCAATAGAGCAGCTGCAATGGCCGACTCTTTCCAGTAGACGCTATTACCACAAGGTTAAAATTGTTTTTCTCTGTCTTCACTCATTAGTTCCTAGTTACTTTTCATCATATTTTATCAGATTTTCGAATGTTCACAATTATTTCACAAGGCAAAGTATTAGGCTATCCCTACCAAAAGTAAAACAAAATTTTGGGAAAAGGACCTTTCTTTTTACTGGCGCAGATATTTTTAATAAACTCCCTTTAAACATTGTGAAGAGTGAAAACATTCAAACGTTCTGCCGCCAAGCAAGACATTTCTTTTATCTTAACTTTGATATTTTATCTAATATTTTAGGTCTTAATTATGTTTTGGCTTTGTAGTCTTAGGCTGTTAATGTAGTTTTAAAATTCTAGTCATATATATATATATATAATTGAGAATTTTGATGTAAATTATTTTTAAGAAACAGGGCCCCTATGGATACCAGCCATAGAGCTGAATGGGCTACCCTGTGTGAATAAAGTTTACTTTACTTTACTTTATTTAATAGAGATGTGAAATCCGTCAATCGCTGACCAACAGCAAGGGAACTGCCACATCTGTTCCATATCAAGCATCTTTTCTCTAAAAGCTTGTTCATTCTTTGGAAAATGGTTAACGACACTGTCATTCCAAAGATTGTTCATAATGACCTCACACACATCCTCAGTAAATAATTAAATAATTTATTAAATAAATAATTTATTTACTTATATAGCACCCTTTAACATTTATGGGATGATCAAAGGCGCTTTACAATCCAAGAAAACTAATATTACAATACATAATTACAATAAAAATGCTATTTAAAATAGATAATTACAATAACAATAATA